AGTGACTGTTCAAAGTTACAACGGCACTGAAAAAAGTGACATAATTTTCACACTTACAACCATTGCAGCATCCCTGTGGTCACGTGATCAGATGCTTGGCAACTGGCATGTGGTTATGATGGTTGCAGTGTCCCAGGGTCATGTGATCACCTTTTGTGACCATCTAACAAGCAAAGTCAATGGGGAAGTCAGATTCACATAACAGCTGTGGTATTAAGTTAACAGCGATTCACTTAACCAATGTAGCAAGAAAGATCATATAATAGGGCAAAACTGAATTGTGGTTCTATGTCGAGGACTACCAGTAGTCCAGTTATACCGGGTGTCAGCAACCTGCAGCTCTGGAGCTGCATGTGTTCTTTGGGTCCCCTGCTGTGGCTCCCTATCGGGTGACCACAACTGGCTGGCCCCACCCCTCGCCCTCCCGTCCCAGTCACTCCTTGCCTAGCCTGAGAAGGTAAGGGCGATGGGGATGGAGAAGCGGCCAGGGCAGAGACAGAGAGATACAGAGAGAGGGGGAGAGAGACACACACAGAAAAATACAGACAGAGAGGGGGAGGGGGAGAGGAGGGGGGAAAGGAGGGAGAGAGAGATGTCAAAAGGGTTTTGTGGTTCCCGGTATTTTTTAACAACCAGTTTTCTGCCCTAATGACTGCCTGGTAGGCGTGGCTGGGGAGGTGTCATGTGACTGGTGGAAGTGAGTGACGTCGAGTTGGCCATGCCCATCCAGGTTTTGTGGCTCCTGGTGTTTTCTTTTCTGTGGGAAATGGGTTCAAATGGCTCCTTGAGTGTTTAAGGTTGCAGACCCCTGAATTATACCATTTAGGGCAATCAATGAGACCTGAATTTTGGAATAAGTTCTGAAACAGTACAGGGAAAATAAAAATCTGTGTTAGTTTAATCATTATAAATTAAAATGTATAACCATGCTGGACTAAAAACTGTGCAATGTAGCTAAAGAAGAAAGTTGACCCATTAACTGAATTGGTCTCATTTGTTCTTTAGCATTTTTTACTGAATAAGGACAAAAAAATCCATCCTTTAAATTGATTATTAAAAGATAAGAGATCTATAAAATATATGGCTCTTTACTTATCCAGAACTTACTCTTGGGGGAAAAAAAGACTCCTAGTATCAACAGTAGAGACCTTCAAATTTCGAGGTTCTATCATATCGCAAGATCTAAAATGGACAGCTAACATCAAACATGTTATGTTATCTGGGATGAGTTTGATCCTGTGACCCGTGAGGACATGGACAGGATTCTGGGCAGACTGAACGCGACCACTTGTTTATTGGACCTGTGTCCCTCCTGGTTAGTGCTGGCTTCCTGGGAGGTGACGCGAGACTGGCTCCAGGGGATTATAAATGCTTCATTGGGTGAGGGTGACTTCCCTGTCGCCTTGAAAGAGGCGGTGGTGAGGCCTCTCCTCAAGAAGCCTTCCCTGGACCCGGCAATGTTAGTTAATTATCGTCCGGTCTCCAACCTTCGTTTTGTGGCGAAGGTTGTCGAGAGTGTGGTTGCGCAACAGCTTCCCCAGCACTTGGATGAGACGATGTATCTGGATCCGTTCCAGTCGGGTTACAGGCCCGGGTATAGCACGGAAACGGCACTGGTCACGTTGGTTGATGATCTCTGGAGGGCTCAGGACAGGGCGTGCTCTTCTGTCCTGGTCCTGTTAGACCTCTCAGCGGCTTTTGATACCATCGACCATGGTATCATGCTGCACCGGTTGGAAGAGTTAGGGGTGGGAGGCACTGTACTACGGTGGTTCTCCTCCTTTCTCTCTGGCCGGTTGCAGTCTGTGTTGGCAGGGGGCAGAGTTCGACCCCGAGGCCCCTCATATGTGGGGTGCCACAAGGGTCGGTCCTCTCGCCCCTTTTGTTCAACATTTATGTAAAGCCGCTGGGTGAGATCATCCGTGGTTTTGGGGTGAAGTACCACCAGTACGCTGATGACACCCAGCTGTACATCTCCACCCCGGACCACCCCAACGATGCCCTTGAAGTGATGTCTCGGTGTCTGGAGACCATGCAGATCTGGATGGGGAGGAACAGGCTCAGGCTCAACCCATCCAAGACCGAGTGGCTGTGGTTTCCGACGTCCCGATATAGTCAGTTGACACCATCGCTGACTATTGGGGCGAATCGCTGGCCCCCACGGAGAGGGTTCGCAACTTGGGCGTCCTCCTGGACTCACGGCTGTCTTTAGAAGAGCACTTGACGGCCGTGACCGGGAGGATCTTTCATCAGGTTTGCCTGATTCGCCAGTTGCGTCCCTTTCTGGATCGGGACTCTCTACACACAGTCACTCATGCCCTTGTCACCTTCCGCCTGGACTATTGTAACGCTCTCTACATGGGGCTCCCCTTGAGGAGCACCCGGAGGCTCCAACTGACGCAGAGTGCGGCCGCACGGGAGGTTATGGGAGCAACATGGCGCTCCCATGTGACACCTCTCCTGCGTGAGCTGCACTGGCTCCCGGTGGTCTTCCGGGTGCGCTTCAAGGTTTTGGTTACCACCTTTAGAGCGCTCCATGGCTTAGGACCTGGCTACTTACGGGACCACCTACTACAACAAACAGCCTCCCACCGGCTGGTACGCTCTCATAGAGAGGGGCTCCTCCAGGTGCCGTCAGCCAAACAATGTTGACTGGCGGCCCCTAGGGGGAGGGCCTTCTCTGTGGGGGCACCTACTATCTGGAACGAGCTCCCCCCGGAGATACGGAGGATCCCGGATCTGCGCACTTTCCGCCATGCTTTGAAGACACTCCTATTTCAGCAGGCCGGCCTGGCCTAATTTTCTCCCCTTCTTTTAAATTTTTAAATTGAAATTTTAATTTGTTTTAAATTATTGGGAGTTTTAATTGTCTTGGGCAAAAATTATTTAATTGGGTTTTAATCATGTTTTTTAACTTTTATATTTATGTGTTTTATTTTGTGCCTGTTCACCGCCCTGAGTCCTTCGGGAGTAGGGCGGTATACAAATTTAATAAAATGAAATGAAACACATCATCAAAAAAGCACAACAAAGAATATTCTTTCTGTGCCAACTCAGAAAGTTCAAACTGCCCAAGGAGCTGCTGATACAGTTCTACAGAGGAATTATTGAGTTTGTCATCTGCACCTCTATAATTGTCTGGTTTGGGTCTGCAATCCAACAAGACAGACACAGACTTTAGAGGATAATTAGAACTGCAGAAAAAACAATTGCTACCAACCTGCCTTCCATTGAGGATCTGTATACTGCACGAGTCAAAAAGAGAGCTGTGAAAATATTTACAGACCCCTCACATCCTAGACATAAACTGTTTCAACTCCTACCCTCAAAATGACGCTATAGAGCACTGCACACCAGAACAACTAGACACAAGAACAGTTTTTTCCCAAATGCCATCACTCTGCTAAACAAATAATTCCCTCAAACTGTCAAACTATTTACTAAGTCTGCACTACTATTAATCTTGTCATCGTTCCCACCACCCATCTCCTTCCTCTTATGACTGTATTACTGTAATTTTGTTGCTTGTATCCTTACGATTTATATTTATATTGTTTCCTGATTGCTTATTTGTACCCTATGACTATCATTAAGTGTTGCACCTTATGATTCTTGATTAATGTATCTTTTATGTACTCTGAGAGCGTATGCACCAAGAAAAATTTCTTGTGTGTCCAATCACACTTGAATAAAAAATCCTACTCTACTCTACTCTACTCTACTCTACTCTACTCTACTCTACTCTACTCTATTCTAATTGGTAATTTGTATTTTTTTAAATGGCCCCAAAAATAGAAGAAGAGGGAACAAAAGATCCATCCAAAACTAAACAAAAATGCTCCAGTCCACCTAGCAGTTCAAAAGCATGCAAAGTAGATTAATAGTTACCACTTTGATGGGAAAGTAACAGCGTTCTGTATGCCTTCTGCATATAGCTATGGTGGCCACCTGACCTTGAAAATGTCTTTGGACAATGCTGGCTCTCTTGGCCAAGAAACAGAGATGAGCACCGCATCCTGGAGTCGGACACAACTGGACAGGGAAACCTTTACCTTTAGCAACAAAACTTATGACTAATAAGGAGGAATGCTTTTACACATTCAGATTTTCGCTCCAATACTTCTAAACAGTGATTAATCATGAAGTTCTGCAAGTAGCTTTTAATAGACAGCATTCATCATCACCTATGCAGGAGAGTGATTAGTTACAACATGTGTAAACTCTATATGGAAACAAAATACAGTACTGTATTTGTTAACGATCTACTGAGTTTAGCATGTTTAGATCAGCTTGGTACTAACCTTCATTAACATGTTACTGCACTGACACTGAAAGACTGTTCTGAAAGTGAACTCCATATGCCTGCATCTCTAGAGAATCAATCATATATTCATCATCATATTTAACTCTGTCCTGTCCTGTTTTACCAAAGTCTGCAAGTGCAATTTTCTGAAAGAACCAGAAATGTTTACAGTACTATTAAAACAGCCTCAAACATATATGTGTCAATGTTTTAATTGACTCTAAACCTCCAAGGCTACCTGTCATTTAACATCTTCAGTTTAATTAATCCATTTTGGCTGAATCTGCATATATGGCAAAAGACTATTTGATATTTATTTTGTATACCAATGCTATCAAATTTGTAGCATTTACAGAAAGCATAACAATCAAAGAGGTACAACAGATGGAGAAGATAGTGAATTTCTTAATATGTAGGTACTCACTCAACCAGTCAGCAGCTCCAAATCTAAATTTTTAAAAAATGTATAAACAGTAAATTAATCAGGAGTGAATACCCCAAGGATATATATATCCTTTGAAAACCTTTGATGCAATCTCCAGAGTTCTTTAAAAAACTGACATCAAAATGCAATGATGATTGTGACAGAAACAGAACATTTATTACATATCTAGTAAGCTAATTAATTAAATTTAGTAATTCTTTTAAGGCACAGCATAATGTATCTACTCTTCCATGTTGCAAAATGATCATTTACCTTTTCATTTTTCCTTTCTTCTGTTTTGCAAGCTGTGTTGGTTGGGCTACAAGTCACCAAGCTACTGATGGGCCCATTTCCAGCTTCTCCATTCAGATTGACTGCAGTGACATTGGGAGGAGTAATTGCTGCAGCTGCTGAAGTGAGAGGAATAATAGGTCTGGCACACTGTGCTCCAGGGATGACATGCACAGGAGAGTGGTGGATATGTTGTGGAGAAACCACCGAGTGTGATCTGATCACAGTTGCTGGGAGGCGAGATGGAGAATTCTGGCTTCTCAGTGGTGAGACTGTGGCTGTGGGCCGATCCTGGGCCTGCACAGAATTGTGAACAACTAAAAAAAAAAAGGGTGTAAGGAAATAGGAGGGGGGAAAAAGTAATTTCAGAAACACTGTCAAAATAGAAATGGGGATATAATAGGAGATTTTGAACAATCCAAACTACTAAATTCAGTTGGAAACTCTTTGATTATAGCTCATCTACAATACAGAAACAGTATCATCTCAGTAGAAGCTGTGCAAAAGCTTAAAATGTTCATCTTATATCTTGATTAACTATATGCAAAACTGCATGCAATTCAGAAATAAATGTAGTCCAAGAAAATATACTCAGGATCAGATTGAACAAGATTTTCATATAATACTTCTAAAATAAAAGCAATATGGAATATTTTAACTGAAAATGACAACATTTCTTACTTACATATGAATTCAGGAAGCTGTCTTATTAACTCCCCTACTGTACTCTATTCTGACAGATGAAGGAATCCAGAACACTTGAACAACTTGTGGGGAAAGTCAATCAGATTAATTTTGAGTTGGAATTCTGAGAAGATTATTTATACAGGTGTTACATCAGCAATTATTTGTTCTACTATTTTGAATTGTTTTTAGCTATCTAGGTTTTAAGGATGTGGACAAGATATATGGAGAGACGAGTCCTTCTGGACTCCCTGGGGAAGCTGAATCGTTGGGTATCATTTTACAGTGGTTCTGAATCTTCCTGTCAGGCTGGGTCCAGAAGATGATACTGAAAAGCTGCGATTTGACACCTAGATTGTAGACTTATCCTAGTCCACAGGGCCATTTCATTTTATCTCCCATGCTATTCATGTACAGAATAACTGTCTTGAGGGAGACAGGTGAGATCCATCTCCAGGAATGAGGAAAAAATATATCTTGAATTCAAAACAAGCACAAAGTATGTGGCAACAGCTCAAACATCTTAATCCACATAGACATAAGAAGGGGAGGAGGTTCAGCATAATCAGACTTGGAGGATTCTGTTATTATAGCCTCTCTCAATAAAAGTAAACTTAACCTTCTCATGAAGTTGATTTTTGGTCTGATTTACCTGGTAGGACTAACAGTTCAATATTTACAACATGATACTGGAAGAGGTTATCTGGAACTTTGGAATGGATTGTCATTAATATGCGTTCAATTCCTAGGTAGCAGTCAGTATATATTATGTAAGTTTGATAATGAAAGATGGATACAAACAAGACAAGGTGCTATTGGGAAATAGGAAACTGATCTCAGGTCTTAAGTATCAGACTATCTCAGAAAGAGTTGCATTATCCTTGAAAGAACAGATTTGCAGCCTGAGAACATTCCATGAATGTTGGCTACCATTAATAATATCTTTGATGCGGAATGCACATGTCTATCTTTGAGTAATAATCCCTTGGCAGGGATTATTTTCTTGGATACCTTGAGTACTGCAACATGCTCTACATGGGGTTCCTCTTAGTAAGTGTCTGGAAGTTGCAGTTTGAGAAAAAGATAGCAAGCTAAATGCTAATTGGAATCATATGATGTTGCTGTAACATTTACACTAGATGTACAATACAATAAACATAATAAATAGCTGTTTTTCTCTTTCTTTAATGTCTAGCAGAACCTACATGCAATATATAGCCATTTAAAAATAAGACCTTTGTAATGAGTTAATCTTCTTGAAAATGTGGGATAACGAGCCACTTATTCTGTGATTTGAAACAGTCACCTAAAAACCCAAGTCCATTCTATTTCACTTCTGATCAGAGGCTGCTTTTTCTTAATGTGTTCAGGACAAATCAGTACTGTATGTTAGGAAAGCAATCTGGTGATCATCAGAAAGTATTTCTGAAATGATTCTGAAAAGCTGCTGGAATATATAATTATAATAAAAAAGCTCAAAAGAACAGCAGTGTAAAAGCTGATTATATATGCATGGAGAAAATTCTTTGAACAAAGAATGCCATGTGGGAAAAAAGCCCATTACATAATGTATACACTCTATTTTTTAAAAAGGAAATTGTATTTCAAGCCTGGCCTGGATGTATCCCTTGTTTTTGCGTTGCACAATAAACATCTTTCATATTTTAAACCTAATAAACTGTTTTAAAACATTAAAGCAATACATAACTTGTTAAGTAGACTTACAGTATCAAGTTTACTCCTTAACATACAGGATGCTTCATGCTTCCCAAATGAATTAGTGTAACATCTGTAAGTACTGTAGTGGGAGTTCCGCTGTGAGTACAGGTAGTCCTCGACTTACGACCACAATTGAGCCCAAGTTGTCTGTTGCTAAGCGAGATATTTGTTAAGTGAATTTTGCCCCATTTAACAAACTTTCTTGCCACAGTTCTTAAGTGAATCACTGCAGTAGTTAAATTCGTAACAGGGTTAAGTGAATCTGGCGCCCCCATTGACTTTGCTTGTCAGAAGATCACAAAAGGGGATCACATGACCCCAGGGACACTGCGACAGTCATAAATATTACGTCAGTTGCCAAGCATCTGAATTTTGATCACATGACCATGAGGATGCTGTAACGGTCATAAGTATGAAAAAGAGTCATAAGTCACTTTTTTCAGTGCTGTTATAACCTCAAACGGTCACTAAGTGAACTGTTGTAAGTCAAGAACTACCTGTACAGGATAGCCAGAAAACCAAAATGTGGTTCTTGCAAGCACTATATACCACCTTAAACAATGCAGGTGTCAACCCTGAAGCTGACCTGACTGAAGCCATTTTGAGGCATCAGTGTTGCCACACTGAAGATGAAGGATAGGGAGGAGGGAATAGAGATAGCTGGGGTTTTGTTGCCAAAACAAAATACTTTCTCCTGGGAACTAAGGACATTCTCACACCTGGTCAGAGAAAGGAGGAGTGATGTTACCAGGCAACTGGATGGCACCGTGATTGGACCATGTGACTGATTGTTTGGGAAAGGGAAAAAACTTTTACTTTTAATTAGGTGAAAACCACTGGAACCTTTAGAGTCACTTTTTACCAGAACTGGGCCAATATGATATACCCAACTATTCTCTGAGGAATCTACCTGCCTTGGAGTTTTGCTTGCTATGGATGTATTACTTGGAACCCTAACAACAGGCAAAAATCTCTAATTCCTATCACTGATACAGTTTTGAACAGAGCCAGTAATTTGCAGAGGAGTCCTAGATAGACAGAAGGTTCCGGAGACTCCTTTTCTCTGATGCGTGATTCAGAGGACAGGATTTCTGCCAATTATACCTACCCATTTGCACAGTGCTGCGAGGCTGAATCACGGGGTGCTGAGAAGAGTATCTCAAACAGTTATTCATCTGTGGGGAGCCTGCTGGCAGCTGGGTCTGAGAGGGAGGGGTTGTGATTGGAACCGCCGGTCTGGTAACAGAAGCAGAACTGGTAAGAACTGGGGCTCCTGGGACTGCATCTCGAGGGGAGCCTTTGGCTGTTGGAGAGCCTCCTGTTAAATTCCTGGCCTGGTTAGTTGCTGCAGGAACCCTGGAGAAAAAGGAAGCCCAAGATAAGAGCTCTGTGCAAGAAGTCAAAGGCAACATATTGAAACCAATGTTTCCTCATCATGCGATCACAAGTAGTCCTCCATTTACAACAGTTTGCTTAATGATCGTTCAAAGTTAAAATGGCACTGAAAAAAATGACTTACAGCCATTTTTCACACTCATGACCATTGCAGCATCCTCATGGTCACGTGATTTACATTCGGATGCTTGTCGGCTGACTCACATTTATGACGGTTGCACTGTCCCGAAGTCATGGGATCCCCTTTTGCAACCTTCTGACAAGCCAATGGGGGAATCTGGGGAAGCCAGATTCACTTAACAACCATGCTACTAATTTAAGAGCTGCAGGGATTTGCTTAACAAAGGAGGCAACAAAAGTCGTAAAATGGGGCAAAATTCACTTAGCAAATGTCTCACTTAGCAGCATAAGTGTTGGGTTCAGTTGTGATCGTACAGTAAGTTGAGGACTACCTGTATTTGGCACAGCATCTCTTGAAATTTCTGTTGATGTGCTTATCAAATAAAATAGAGGACAAACTTTTTAGTAGCTGCTAGATACAGATGACTCTCAACTTATGACTGCTATTAGAATTGGAAATCCAGTCCTAAGCTATTATGGTCATAACTTGAGAGGCTCATGTGATTTTATGACCTTTTTTTCAATGGTTATTAAGCCAAAGTAGTGGTTGTAAGTGCAAATCCATTCATTTGAATAGATTATTTTTTTTTGCCAGAAACTGGCCAAAACATTGTGAAGCATCAAAACTTGTTGCCAAGTGAGACAGGGAGACCATTTACAATGGCTGGGGAATAGATTACAGGCTGTAAAACACCCATAGCTGTCGTAAATGTTGTTCAACAACCAGTTATAAGTTGAGGACTACTTGTGGAACAGCACATTATGTTTCATGAGAAAGTAGCCACAGAAGCAATATGTATTATACAAAATATGCAACCTTAGCTCTATTATAGAGAGAAAAGCTGAACAGAAATCCTTACTTCTGGTGTTGAAAAGAAATGTAGGCTGTGCTTGCATAAAATTTTTTTATTTGATCTCTTAAAAAAAGCATGAATTATGTCAAAAGTAGGAAGCAGAAAAAAATGGGCATTTTAGCTGATCACTGAATCATTCAGATTTTCTACTTATTTTTGTTATTTCTACCACATGCAGCAGTTCAGATATATAGCCTTTCCAGGGATGGGTTCTACTTTTACTACCGGTTCGCAGCGGGGCCGCACGCTCTTCTGTGCATGTGCAGAAGCGTTTTGATGACGTTGGGGTCGGTGGGCGGAGCCTCCCACTGGTTTTACTACCGGTTCTATAGAACTGGTGCGAACGGGGGGCAACCCACCACTGAGCCTTTCCCTACCTAGCTATGAGCAACCTCTGTGTCTAGACAACAGTCTGAGATCACAGACAGGATGAACATGTACTTCACTGTGGAGGTACAAGTATGACATCAGGCACAATCCTTCAGCATCACAAACTGTTCTTATAACCCATTGGTGAGGATATTATGATAAAAATATTATGTAATTGAAAATAATATATTAAAATAAAAACAAAAACATCTGAGTGCAAACTCAGAGAAGACACTTTTTGGGATTTATTTTCTTTCTTTGGGAGGTGGTGACATCAGATTGCTAAATCTCCCACACTGCTTCTCACCTGGAAACAGGAGTGACATAATTGCCTGGAAAGACGCCACACATGCCATTTCTCAAGGACGTGCCTTTGAACCAGCCATCCTGACACTTCTCGATAACACGATACATTTCGCCCTTACGTAGTTCTAGTTCATCTGTCTTCTGAGGTTTGTAGGCATATAATGCCAAATAACTGTCAAAAATGATAAATATATAAATAGTGAGAGGGTAAAGCTGAAGACGCGCATAGCAAGTAAACCATATTTTGTTTTAAAATAAAATACCTGTTATTGCTTAATTTATTTATTCAGTGGGGAGCAACTGAAATTATTAACCAGCAAAAGAATATGGGAAAATAGAAGGGAAAATTCCATCCAGACAGCTATAAGATACTTAACACATTGACAGCACTAGAATATTAATTGGAAATTTGCTTACAAATTTCAAAAATAGGATGCCCATAACTAAATTTAGCTGGATACCGATTATCAAAATGAAAAGCAAATCATGCTGAAGAAAAGACGCAACATTCATGTAATTCTACATAATGTAGTTTTAAGATATTTTGCACTTTAAAAATAGGCAGCTGAATTAAAGGACAAATGAAAGTAGTATTTCTAAAATTACCAGAAATCATTTAAAAAAAACTATAGTTTTTAGATTTCCCTATTGTTATACATATCAGAGGGATAGTCCTTGAAAATCAGGGTGGGTGGTTTGATGGGATATGCTGTTCTGGGAGATTGGGACTTGAAGTTGAGGGAAAACCCTGAAGGAAAGGAACTTAAAAGTCTGGGCACAGATAGGCTGATAACGGGTTACACTGTACTTGGATATCTCTGGCCAAGGAGAAGAGCAAGGATGATATGTAACAGCTTTGCCTTCTTTGTTCCATAAAATCACTTGCCAGGATTCTTCCAGATTTTTATTTCAGCCAAAACTCAGAACAACCAAAAATCTGCCAATTCAAAATGGTTTAGCAGAAGCTCTGCGACATGAAGGTTTGCTTCAAGTTCAAAACAAATATACTGCATATTCTATTGTGCGCATACCCCTAATAAAGTATACTATATATAAAACTATACTGGCTTTGCTAAATTACATGTGATTTTTTTTTTTTTGTAATTTCTGGAAGATGTAAAACTGGAATATCCTCCACATAGCATCTCAAAAAAATTACTAAACCACATTATTCAGATTGAATACAGATTGTAACCAATACACATGTTTTCTGCTTTATAGAAAATATAAGTTGAAAAATAAATGTTGCTTGATTTTTTTATTTTGTCCCTGTATGCAGTAAGCATTCTCACTGCAAGCAGAAAATAAACAGCAATAATTATTAGATTGCTCATATCTTTTAACAATTCCTTGAGGCACTCTTTGGCTTGATTTATCAAATGCTTCCAGTAGGCAGCATCCTGATCAAATAATTAATGTATATTTTTCACAAGAGGCTTGAGGAATTATTGTCACATTATGTTTTGGCAGTGTATGTGCAGTGAACTATGTTAATTAGCATGAGCGCGTTCTCTGGTTTTAGTGCAATCAGTACTAGCCACTTGGAACAAAATGTAAAACCCTCAGCTATCTTTGACTACTCAGTGGCATTAGAAAACACTATTGAACTTGGGGCTTTTTGTGATGCCGGATGTCTGGATATTATGAGTTACATTTCAGTCTACACTGTTCAGCACTAATAGTTACCAGGTAGAATTGTATTCTAGGTTTAATTTTAGGCTAGAGGGCCTCAACTGTGATTGATTTTAAAACGTCAAATTCAAAGTACTTTGATTGATGTCATCATTGTAGGCCTGTTATGAGTTTGTAGTACACCTTTGAAGTGAAGTCTGGTTTTCTAATGCTTAAGAGCACAAAAGTGCTTATTTCCCTTTTCCTTAGCATATTAAAAAATTCCACAATTTGTCAAGTGGAATATTGTAGACAATTTACAGAAAAAACAAAGATAGAGCGAGTTAATTAAACATACATAATTAAGTACTCATGGTAGGTGTTATGTATATAGGTAGTGCTTGTTTAGTGACTGTCTTGTTTAGTGAGAATTTGTGCTTACAATGATGAAAAAGTAACCCAAAGTGACCAATCCTTTATATGTCTGCAAAGAAAGCTGAAATAAGATCACAAGTTGTCACAATATCATTTTGTGACTGCTTTGCTTAATGACCTAGTTGCTAGTTATTAACCACATTAAATAAACCTAATGTAGTTGTTAAATGAGAACCACCTATAATGCAGTTTGTACCAGCTATTTGTTCTAATATTAGTTTTAGTTTTCCTGCACTCCTTGCATAGTTATCCTCACTATTATATGTCACTAAGCATTTTCAATCACTTTGGACATTGTGGCACAAAAAATTGTATGTCCTCTTTCTCTCTTTAAATGCAGCAAAGACACCACCTTAGATGTCTTGGATGGAAGTTCAAATGCTGAGATTATATAATGGATAAGATAAAGTTAGACGAGATGGGAAGCACATAAACAAAGAAGCAAAGAAAGGTAATGGAGAAATGGATGAAGGACACTCACCATTTCCTAATCACCCAAACTAACCAGAATGTTTTTTCAGAGAATATTCCAGCTGATAGGAAAAGTGCTAGATCCAAGGAAAAGAAAACTGAGCTTGTGCTTGGTGTTTTTTCCCCCCTTCACTGTGTATTTAATTTCGATAAATATTTAATCATTCTATTTTTAGTATCTTTCACTGAAACCAAAATTTTTACATGTTCCATGCTAATGCTGTAACATCATTTGCTGCACTAAATATATACCTGGAAGAATTTTATTTTATGAACAGCTCTTCCTAATGGAATATAATTTCAGATACTAAATTGTATAGGAATATTGTTTCATAAATGGTTTAATATAATTTATGTTAGTGGTTCTCAACTTGTGGTCCGTGGCATGGACCCTTGTGGACTGGCTGTGATGTTGTCACGGGGGTCCACAAAGGCTTGAAGAAATTATTTAAATCTTGAGTTAAGTCTTGGTGGTCTGTGGCCACAAAACATATTTAAAGGGGGTCCGTGGTAAAGAAAAGGTCGAGAACCACTTATTTATGATATTAATGATTTTCTCTATTTGATAGGAACAATACCTGCCAAGTAATCCTTCACAGAACTATGACAACTAACTTGGGAATTTGAAGAATAAAGTGAATTAAATTTTAAAAGAGAAAAATAAAATGAAATTAAGGGAATGGTTAGGAGGAATGAGGACACGTGGGGAATTGGAAGAGGTTCTAGGAGGAAAACGGTTGTCTTGGTTAAATTATAGCCAAGTGGAACAATGGACTAAAAATTGGATAAGAGAAAATGGAGAGTGTAGAGAGTTAACGAGGTTTGAGGAATTAATTGAAAAAAATCAAACTGTAAAGGAAGAAAATAAAGGGATAAAAGGCTTAATGAGCGGAATCTATAAAATATTGTTGGAGGAAGAGGAGAGGGGAAATTTAGGAAAGATGGTATGGGAAACTGATTTGAAGATACAAATAGGGCAACAGAGTTGGGACAGAATTTGGCAACAAAGAGTGTTGAGAAATATGTCAGTAAGAATAAAAGAGAATTACTACAAAATGGTATGGAGGTGGTACTTAACTCCGGTTAGATTAAGCAATATGAATCAGCACTATTCAGATAACTGTTGGAGAGGTTGTGGGGAAAAAGGAACGTATTTACATATGTGGTGGGATTCTAAATTTGTGCAAAAATTGTGGAAGATGGTGTTTAAGGAGATAGAAGAAATTGTAGGAATAAAGGTAGAAGAGGCACCAAAGGTAGCATTACTCTCACTATTGGAAGATATAAAATGTAAAAAAGAGACTAAAGAATTGATAATAAATTTGTTGACCGCAGCAAGGCTAATGATTTCTAGGAACTGGAAGATACAAGGTGTTTATAATTTGGAAGAATGGTATAAGGAGGTATGGGATATTGCCATAAATGATAAATTGACTTGCAATATTAAAGTAAGGAGGGGCATAATGAAGGTAAACGAGTTCAATGGAATCTGGAAACAGTTCCTAATATATGTGTTTTCTGGAGGAAGAGGGATACCACCACCAGAAGAAACTTTAAGATTCTGGAAGCAGGAATGATCCCGAGGGGTGGGGGAGCACTTGTTGATTGTTTGTATTCTGTATATTGTTATATATTATATATTATGATTCATGTATGTTATGTATGTTAATTTCTTTTTTTATATATATGTTAATAATAAAAAATATGGGGAGAAAAAAAAACCAACTAACTTGGAAATTAAAATTTGTCTGAACCAGTAGATACAAGTGACCTGGACTTTCACTCATCACTTTTCAATTTTGACAAAAGGCTGGTTCACCCAAACCAGTGATAACCATGAGGACGGGTTCTGCTGACATTTTCAAACTCCAAAATAATAAAGCCAAAATGATACATTGCTCCTCAGAGCAAAACGTCTGCTTACATATTGAGTGGTAGTTGGACCTTTGATGGTGTTCCTTGATCTCCCACAATTGCACTGGTTCTGGGTCCAGCCATGGTTGCGGATCCAGCTAAAGTAGAATCCTAGAAGCAACAGAAGTGGAGAAAAATGAAAGGAATGCCCATTTCACACTCATTTTTTTACTCAATTGTATGACCTTCAATGTGTTTCTTTATTTATTTCACTTATTAGCATCCTTTATTTTCCTTAAGATAGGTTCTTTAGCTTTATGCATTCTAACAATGTATTTTTTGCAGAAGAGTCACCAATGGCCAAAGCTCCACTGTAAAAAAAATAAATCAGAAAAATCAGTATTTTTTTCAGCCTAAAACAAGATTGGTCTGTCCATCCCTCAGATTATACTATGCTTAATTTGATAAGGGCCATTATTCGTTTTTAATTTCATTTTCTTATTAACTTCTTGTGCACTAATAATACTTGATATGTACTGTATGTTAAAAAACAAGTTGGTTGTCAATTGCTCCAAAGGTTATTTTGTATATTACTTTTTATAATCAGCCAGAAATCTCTTCAGCAATCAGATGTGAACTACAGAGCACTAAAATAATAACTATTGTCATTGTAACTCAGTTTATTATTATGTTCTTTATTCTCAGCTCATATTTCAGTGTCAAAAGGGAAACCAGATCTACTACTGATGAAACATATTATTTAAAAAAATAAAAATACTTATGCCTTCTCTACTTTCTAACAGTAAAAAAGTTGTTTGGAAAGGAGTAAATTTTGCCCTTTTTGAAAGAATATATTCAAGAAAAGAAATGTTAAAAGCTTTCCTGGCTATTCCCTGTCTGTGCATTTTAAGAGATTGTGCATTTCATTCTCTTTCATTTGATGGAATTTGGACCAATGATTTTAGTTTCCAAGGTTTGCCAACAAATGGATGGATTCATTTATTCACTTATAAAGACTCCTGAAGTGAAATATATTCATAAATCCTTCTTCTTCTTTATGTCATCTTGTGGGATTTTACAAATCCCCAAGTTAAGATGCATTTCATAAGCTGTGAAGTGTGACAAATTTTAATGCTTCTTTCCAATTCACTGTCTCTTAATCTTAAAGCATCTATCAGACATTTACTTAGCTAACTGTAGCACCAGGGACTGGTACAGGGGCTATAGTGCAGAAGGACCAGTTTTTAGTGTTGATATTGGATACCTGGTTTTCTAAGGAATTGTCCTTCTGAACAGTATGGATATACACGAGAGTAATGCTCTACAGATAAAGGTTGGAAAGAAGAAATATATTGGACTTAAAATATATTGGAATCTCCCTTCCCCAATTAAATCGCAGAACACAGTAAAAATGCAGACAAATAAGTCATTTGAGTCATAAAAATATCTGATTGGCTGTCTCTATTGTTCAGATCAGTCAAAAAAATATCCAGGCCAGAATCAGTCCCTATGTCAGGTTTTGAAGCATTGGAGTAAGTGCAGTGTGAAATGCTGACATCCTATATGCAACTGATCTAAACAATCCCCTAATATGGTTCTTTGGATCAGTACTCCTAAAATTGCCAAGTCAAGCTGAGTCTTGATACATTTGGAGTTTACCAGGTTGGTGAAAATGATATAATATTTTCCACATGTAGATCTGTATTCATTAATAACATGTTTTCCCCAAAATGTGCAGTGAATTGAACAAAACAGACTTTGTAAATCATGGATACCCAGATGAAGTTCCTATATCATGAATGTTAAACTCAGATGATTTTTTGGACATTTATTTTTCAATATTTATATCATACTAACATTGCAAACTCTGCACTGTCTGGACAGACTACAAAAACAGGCCTATATACAATATATTACTATAATTTAATCTAAAGGCAACTGGAACATGAGCCATCATTGCTAATCCCTCTTCCTCCAAGGGGAACTTCAATGGCACATCAACTGAAACTGGCAAAGGATCTCCTGGTCATAGGATCCACCTGCTGTTCCTAAAGTAGTTAACAGTCAAGGAGAATCCTTAGGTTTTGGACAATCCCCTTCAAGGATTATCCACTCAGGATGAATATGGAGGCCATCAACAAATTTATTTCTATGTACACAGCAACTCTATTTTGCCAGATTTAACCCAATGCTTCTCACAGCTTTACCAAGAAAGACGCCAATAATACCCTCTATGTATTGATAATATCTCATCCAAATTGGCAGATATCTCAATAGAAGATATGCCCCAGTTTCTTAATATGGATAATAAATAACATTATTTTTCACATGGAACATTATATTTTATATGATAGAAAGAAAGCTATCTGGATACACAGGACCACTGGTTTGATTTCCAGAGGGAAGTGCTGATATATTTGCAATTAATTTACATTTACTCTCCATCTAATCTTGAGACTCAAGGCAAGACACACAGTATCTGTATGATACCTACTCTGGTTAGCTTTTACAATGATAAATAGTGTAATGTGTGCTTGAAAATAATTTTGTACAAATATATTATCACTTGTGCAAATCTTGCCTATTTAATTATGCCTGTTTTCAAATATCACAATTGAAGAGTTAAAACTTAATCACTTGTAAAAAGATGTTTTGCATAAATTAGGTTGTTTGGGGTTTGGCTTTGCTAAGCATAATATATAAACTTATATTTTGTTTACTTCAGGAAACTGTTATTAAAACAGTTTAGACCATTAAAGGATGCTTGCAAGATGGCATTTTGATTTAAGGACCAATAATCTACAGAAAATTACATTTCATTGATCTATGAACATAGTAATCTGTTAACAGATTCTTTGCTTCCCAGCATATTGACATATTTGTTTAGGAAAGCGTGAATTTAAAGAAAACAAATCATGGAATCCAGAAAAAGTAAAATAACAAATTCTTATTCTATTTTGTTAATGAGTCAAACATCTGATTTAGTTTTTAACTAAACTATATAAGGGGGATATGATCATTTATTTATGCATCTGTCTCCAAGAAAAAGAAACAAATGAAAATCAAAACACAAACTAAATGGAAATACAAACTAAATGGAAAATTACTTCAGACTGCAGTGCTGTAAATGTCAGATGTAAATGCCTTATTCCCTAATGTGTAAATAATGTATATATGGGATATCAGGGGTTAACTTATTCTTTGACTCTTAATGTATTCATAATTCACCACTCCCACTCTTGGCTCCACCCTTTGTATATATAAGGAGCCACCTTCACCATTTTCTTTGCTTCTATCTGTGAATATTCAGTGAATATAGAATGCCTATTATAATTAAAGAGAAATATATTTAAACCTCTAACTCTTATTATTATTATTGAGTCTGATCCTGAAAATATTGCAACAAGCTGGTAGCAGAGGATGGTTAATTGACTCAATAAATACCTAAAAATGTCTAAGAAAGATAGGCCCAACACCAGGGCCTACAGCAAAGAAATAGAAACTGAACAAGAAATAATCAACGAATCCACAAACGCGATTTCGAGAGAATCCGGAGAATACACCACTGAAGAAGAAGAATTAATAAATGAAAATGATGGCCAGGAGGAAATCGAAATAGAAAATAACGAACTCAGGTCAGAGATATTGAAGTTATTAAAAAGCCAGAAGAATGATGAAAGCCTCATCGCGAACCTCCAAGAAATGCTGAAGAACAGCGGAGCAGCGAGAGAGAAAAACATCGCTAAAGAGAAACCCAAAGACCAAAAAACTGTGAGTGATATGACTACAGAGAAAGTCGTTATGAAAAAGAAAAAATGTGATCCCGCGCGAAATTTTGAATGGCAGCCATCTTGGTTTCAACAAGCCTCCAAAGTGAGCGAAGCAGAGCCAATCAAAATGCTCAGTTCAAAATTTCTGGCGCGAAAAACGTTATCAGACAACGAAAGTGAAAAGGAGGATTCAAACTCTTCGGAAGAGCCAGAATCAGAAAGTGAAGACGACTTAACGAAATCCCAAGTAAAGTCAGCAATGAAGACACTTTTTGCTGCATTTGGGCCAAAATTAAAAATTTCCAAAGCGCCAACGAAGAAGCAAGCGAACAAGCCGATACTTCAAGACCTGCACGCTCCCATCCTGACTTCGAGAGCGACGACGCCCGAGCCCAGAGAGCCATGTCGATTCCGCCCTACACCGCAGACCGAAGCAAGTGCCAACGCACCCAAAAGAAAGAGAAGAACAGTCGCCGCCATCAGAACTCCTAACACCGAGCCAGAGACCGACTCGTCTGAAGGGGAGCGGAGCGAGCGAGCTACAATGGAGAGAACCTTCCACGACGACGCCAAAGAAGAAATGAACAACGCGCATGTGCGAAACTACGTAGACGGTCCGGAAAGACTTGAACTGGCCAGAGAACCGCGCAGACTCGTTGCGAGCATCCCCATGCCGTTTTGCAATTTCCTACACTTGCGAGACCACGGACTACCTCAGGTTGTAAGTAATGGACAAAATAATGTGGGAAACTTACCCAGTGACTTCCCAAAACTTAGGGTTGATGGCATTAATTTGCAAGAATGGTATCAACAGCTCCAGGTTGTCTTTATGAAAGAAAATTTACTATTTTTTATCACTAGTCCCCCAAGAAGACCTTGGACTTTAAAAATAGATTGTTTACACCATAAGGCATTTTTCTTAATAATATCTGGCGTGTCTCCAGCAATGTATCATAGCATCAAACCAAATCTAACTGTTTCAGAAATAATTCAATGCATGTTTAATTTGTTTCACAGCGATAGTGTAGCTACCACCACAAGAATGTCTAAGGACTTCTTTTCTTCCAGAGTAAAACCAGGGGTTTCCATAAGTGAGCATTTAATATCTTTAAACAAAATAAGAGCTGAGCTGCATTTGAGGGGGGAAGTGATTTCAGATCAAACAATGAAAAGTGTTATTATCAACTCACTTGATTCATCATGGGATAGTTTTATGTCACACTTAGACACCATCAATCTAGGATATTTATCAATAGAAAGTCTGTCTAACAAATTGATAGCAGAAGACAATTCAAGAAAAAATCGTTATAGCAATCACACAGAACACAAATCTTTTAGGAAGGTAGCTTTCCAAGAAAAATATAATGAAACTTTTAAATGCCACAATTGTGGGTCCAGGGA